ATATATATATATATATATATATTCGATGTTACAAGGGAGCATTCATATTTCCATGTACAATTTTTAATAGAGTTTTATTTCTTGATTATATTTTACAGCATTTGAACATAAAATCTTACTTAATATATTTAAATTAAATTTTATTTAAACATAAAATATAATTATTAGATGAGGATAAATAATTATTATAAGAAATAAAATAATAAATATAAATTACTAAATCTTATATAGATAATTAAGTTAAAAGATAAATATATATTTTTAAATGTTGATATGATTATTAAATATCTTTTTAATTTAAACGATTTATGTATTATATGATCTATATTTATAATAATTCTTACACTTTTAAATGAGGACTATTTTTATTAATGAGAAAACAAATTTTTATATAAGTAAGAGAAATAAACATAAATTATGTACAATCGTGTATAAATGATCGAGATTTTAAAAACAATTACATGATTACTTAAAAATGCATAATTTTTACACTTAAAATTTGACAATATAATATACGATATAGTATAAATTTAAATACGTTTTTTTCATTCTTGTAAATATATCGCTTTATAATATTTAAATTTCAAACCTTAAATTTATTTAACCTTCTATTATATAAGTGTTTACATCATCAAACATTGACACATGGTTATATTACATTATAAAAATGCTTATATAGCAATATCAGTTTTATACCGGAAAATAACAAAACATCAAGAAGAAAAACGAAAGATCTAAACATTAATCGTAAATAAAATTTGCAGAAACTGTTTTTTTTCTCTTACCCGTGTAGTCTATTACAATATCAGGAAGGAATACGTATATTTTAGCACTGCTTTGCCTTTTCCTTCCCTGCTAAACATGAGTACTTCCAAGCATCATTTTCGACAGTGAAATTCATGAGTTGGTGGAAAAAGGAGAGCAACCATTGGTATGTTTATACTTTACTCCTCTAAACCTAACTAGTAACTACAAACAAGCTTTTAACGTGGGGTTTACACCTACGTCACATTTTTAAAAAAAGTACCAGAATAACATGTTGTGCTCTATTCAAATATCTTATTAAATGTACTATTGTTCACACAATGAAATGAATGAAACTACAAAATATGCATAATGTACCATATTTAAATATCTTAATTAAATGCATTCTTCTACCTTAGCAAATTAGTTATGTTCACACAGAAATGAGTGAATATACAATCATGATTACAAACGTTTGGGTAGGGCAGCAAGATGCAATAAACGACAAAATAATATTTTCTTGCATATAAAGGACCCATCGAGAAGCATTAAGGCAAGGTAAGTGCCCTATCCAATCTTCTATTTGAAAATGACTTCATACGGAATATTTAGCCTTCCTACCTTTGATTCCAACATTTATTGAGCTTTCAACTTTCAACTTCCGAATTTAGGTTTCAAAAAATATATATCCCAATTTTGTATAAAAAAAAAAAAAAAAGAGATCATAATATAGTAAAAATAATGAGAGGTGCCAAATAGTTTGCTCCTAAATTGCAAAAAACAGGAAAACAATATATTTGACGCGCGTGACTCGCGTCTTCGGTTTTCCAACTTGAAGATATGTGTATTTGTCTTCTTCCTCAACTGTATCACTATCAAGCTTTTCAAGTTTAAGATATTTATTCTGATTTACTACAAACTAGTAAAAGATTAAAAAAAAATAGTAAGTTTAAATTATATAATCTTCTCTCCGTAAATTAAAATAAATATCTTAAATAAAAATATTTTTACATAACTTATTTCTAAAAATATTTTTGGAGAATTTTTTTCCCAATGATAATACATTAGATTTTTTTTCAACTTTTTATCTCATTTAATTTATCATTTTTATTGTTAAATTTATTTTTGTATTTTTAATTTATGATTAAAATAATTTTATATCATTATATAAATTATTTATTATAAATCTAAAATATATTTTATAAGTTAAAAGGGGTATTACTTTATTTTAGTTATAATATAATTTATATATTAAAAATATTTATCATAAATTATAGTTATATAAAAAGAATACTTGTCTTATACATCACGAAAGTTAAAATACTAATTATATATAAATAACTAAAGTTTTAAAATTTTATTATTAATTTTATCCTTTTGTGATTTTATTCTATAATTAAGGTAATAAAAATTTACTTGATATACCAACAACTTATTAAGTAGAATTGAACTCAATTTTATTAAATAAAGTATTGTAAATAGAAAAAATATAATTAAAAAGATTCAATTAAAGCGATGAGTCAATTTTTTTTTCACTTTAATAATAGTATGCTACTAAAGAAGAAAAATCACTTGGTATGCCCTCTTCCTACTCCAATTTCACAAAAGAAGAATTTGTGATTATCTGCTTATAAATGATGATACTGTTCTTTACAAAATTTTCAATAACCTAACTATTTGTTTAATCACTTTCTTAGTTTAATTTTAATTTGTCTATATATTGTTTTGAAGTTTCTAATTGAATTTATGACATTACCAAACATTTATAGTAGTTGTTTGGTTATACGAATTTCAAAATAAATAAACCTATACTGAGTTATTACTTTATTTTGCTTGATTTTTCTTCAACTATAATCTATTATTGTATCTAATTTTTTTTAAAAAATATCATATATCCCTCACACTTGGAAATTGGAATATATGTACATATAAATAACCTTAATGCGTAAGTAGAATGAAGTAGGAAGATCTGATATATACTTGTGGACTATGCGTAGGGCAATTCATAGATATGGAAAGTTGAAGAAAGAGAGAAATATGTCTTAATCAACAACAACAAAAACAAAGCTAATAATTGAATATGGAAGAAATGCAAAAGCGTGTCTGTAACACCCACAAGGTGGCGAGTGACCATTGTTTACGCAAGGTTGTTAGTTACGCTATTTATTATGAATTAAATGACGAAAATTTTGAAGAAGCACCGAACATCAAAATTAAAAAAAGGCAACCTCAAAAAACTCGAGTCAGATTAAAGTTGCAAACACAACACAAACAGCGAGGAGAGAAGAGAGAGAGAGGAGAAAGTTGAAGACTTTCCTCCTTCAATATTGCTGGAACAATCTCTATCTCTCTCTTCTTGGACTCCTCTGAAAGCAAGGTAAGAACTAGAGACGAGAGATGTTTGGGTGCAACTGTTTATGCTGGGATGTTGTACCTCAATTCTCTGACCCTGATCCACTTCCCTTCTCTCTGCCTTCACCCCTTCCACAATGGCCACAAGGTATCTATGTCCTAACCATTGACTTTTTAACGCTACCTTTTGGACAATTTTATTTATGGGGTTTCCTCTTCTTCTAATAGAATTCCACGGATTTGGCACTGTTTTTTATTCAATCAAACGATAAAACCAACTAGTTATATATTATATCATCTTCGGAAGAAAAAAAAAAGTGTTTTTGAACCACTGTTTCTGGAAAGTGCAATTTGGTGGTGGTTGGGGGGGATCACAAAGGGTAGAATTTGAGTAAACTACAGAGGTAATTGGATCAGAATTCAGATATGTTTCCATTTAATATTTATTATCTTGCGATATTTATTGAAAACAATTATTTCGTTGTAAATAAATTTTTGTGAACTAGTACACTTTTTGGTAATGGACTTTAATGCTTACTGTTTAGTAAAATCCCATGGCTGTTGAGAAAAGCTAGTGACATACCTCATACCCTACAGAAAAAGAAAAAAAAAGTTTTGTTACGTTGTTATTGATTTGATTGCACATATTCCACTCTATGAATATAGAAAAGATGCCTTGTTTTTTTCTTTGTTTATTTGGATGTGAAGTAGTGGCATTGTTCTATGGTTTTACTATTTGCCATCACGTATTGTTTTACTTAAAGAGATGGTTAAAAGACTTGTTTTCACCGCTTGAGCTGGTTACCTAGTCGAACTATCGGGTTTGATACCACCATTGGATATTGATGGTTTACACACAAGTCTTCACAATGGTATAATATTATCTACTTTGGACATAAATCCTCACAGATCCTTAAGGCTCATAGGCTCATACAATAAAGACTATGAATTTTATAACCCAATGTTTTTCTTTATGTCCTAACAATGTGAGATTTTGTTTATACACTCAACAATTTCTTATCTTGACTTCACACTACGAATGTGTTGTCAAATGTTGTGCTTGTGCAGCTTATTGATGGATGTATGTTTGCCTTTGAGAGTTAAACAATATTAATTCATTACTGCGGCACTTTGTATAGAACTTACAGTCATCTAAATTTTCCACTCATAAAGTTCTAAACTTAGTTTGTTCTCTTGCTTGATACTTGCTATGTATCAAGTAAGCATCGATATATGCATCAAAATTAAACTTGTTACCAATAATCTTTTAATTATTTTTTGTTCTGAGACCCTATTTGGATAAACTTTTTCATAAATATTTATAGGAGAAAGAAAATAAGAAGGTAAAATAAATTGAATTTCTCCCATAAATTAAAATTAAAATTAACTGATGCACTTCATCTTCTAAAGAAGTTGTACAAAAGAGTTTCTATAAAAGTTAACTACATAAGTTGATTTAACTTATGAGAGGAGTTCAATTTATTTTTTCTTTTTATTTTCTTCTCTTATGAGTACGGAGAAGTTTATTCAAATAGGACGTATCTATTTGATCTTTTGTGGCTGTGTTGTCAAATATTTGTGGCTTAATTATCTTATTTACCTAAGTCTGTGAATGATCTGGTCAGGTGGTGGTTTTGCGAGTGGAAGAATATGCCTCGGGGAAATAGAAGTTTTAGAAGTAAACAAGTTTGAGAAGGTTTGGAGATGCACAAGTTTGCATGGGAAATCACTGGGTTTCTCATTTTATAGACCTTTGGAAATTCCAGAAGGCTTTTTCTGCCTTGGTCACTACTGCCAGTCCAATGACCAGCCATTCAGGGGATATGTTCTTGTGGCCCGTGAAACTAGTTCTGACTCCACGTTCGAATCTCCTGCTCTACAAAAGCCACTCAGTTACTCGTTAATATGGAGCATGGATTCACATGATGAATGTGTTTACTTTTGGTTGCCAAACCCTCCAAAGGGTTATAAAGCCATGGGCATGGTGGTTACTAACAGTCCTAATGAGCCTGAAGTTGAGGAAGTTCGATGTGTTCGTGCTGATCTAACAGAAACTTGTGAGACTTCTGATCTATTACTGACTGTGAAGTCAAAATATTCAAAAAATTCATTTCAGGTTTGGAAGACACAACCCTGTGATAGAGGTATGTTAGCTAGAGGTGTATCTGTTGGGACATTCATATGTGGTACCTATTATGATCCTGAACAAGTGGTGGATATTGCGTGCTTGAAGAACCTTGATTCTTCCTTGCATGCAATGCCAAATGAGAACCAGATTCATGCACTTATTCAGCATTACGGTCCCACTGTGTACTTTCATCCTGATGAGAACTACTTGCCATCTTCAGTGCAATGGTTCTTTAAGAATGGAGCAGTTTTGTATGCAGCAGGGAGTAAGAAGGGTAATGCTATTGATTATCAAGGATCAAATTTACCTAGTGGAGGAACAAATGATGGTGCCTTTTGGATTGATTTGCCTACTGATGAAGATGCAAGAAACAATCTAAAGAAGGGAAACATAGAGAGTGCAGAACTCTATGTTCATGTAAAACCAGCATTGGGAGGAGCCTTTACTGATATTGTGATGTGGGTTTTTTGCCCCTTTAATGGACCTTCCACCCTTAAAGTGGCATTGATGAACATTGAGATGAACAAGATAGGGGAACATGTAGGTGACTGGGAGCACTTCACCCTTCGAATAAGCAACTTCACTGGAGAGCTATGGTCTGTTTACTTCTCTCAGCATAGTGGAGGTGAATGGATAAATGCATCTGATCTGGAGTTTATTAAGGGGAATAAGCCAATTGTTTATTCATCAAAACATGGCCATGCTAGCTTCCCTCACCCTGGGACTTACCTTCAGGGATCATCCAAACTAGGAATAGGAGTACGCAATGATGCAGCTCGAAGCAAGTTTATCGTGGATTCGAGCATCAAGTATCAGGTTGTTGCGGCTGAGTATCTTGGTGATGGAGTCATTACAGAACCATGTTGGTTGCAGTATATGAGAGAGTGGGGTCCTACCATTGTATATGATTCTCGATCTGAGATAGATAAGATAATAGATCTGCTTCCACTATTTGTTAGATTTTCTGTTGAGAACTTGTTTGAATTGTTTCCAACAGAGCTTTATGGTGAAGAGGGTCCAACTGGTCCAAAGGAGAAGGATAATTGGCTAGGAGATGAATATTGCTAGTCCTGCTTCATGTCTTGTGAGCTCTGTCTTAAAACTGTTGCTTTTGCTCACTCATTTTAGTGGGAAAGTAATGCAAACTAATAAGGTAGTGTCTTTATGTCCTATTAATAGTATGTGTTGTGTGTCACAGTGGGAGAGGTGAAATGGAGCAAGGCATCATCATCTATCAATTGTAAAGGGGGTGTACCTTACATAGTAGAAACTTGTGTCATTCTTGATGACGTGAAAAACTGTAGTTCTCTGATGTTTGAGTTAATTGAAAGAATATACATATAACTATACAGAAACTATGAGAAAAGTGATAGCATTGTACTTTCTAATACAATATTTATTATTGGTTGAAAATTACTTAGGTTCACAAATGATGCGGGCCTCGCCCCTGATTTGATGAATTTCTTTTGTTATTTTGTGATTCTAAATTTAATCAATAACAAAGAGTGTTTAAACCATGAACATGCATTAGTGTTATCTGTTGAATACACATTTTTGGTCTCTTTCACTGTTTGTATTATAATCTTGTTGCCAGTGTTCAGTGGGAATCATGAAAGTTTTGGTTAGTATTCCGAATATTGCCGTTCAAGGAGTAGGATTTTTTTTTTTTGGGTAAATGTAGAAATTTCTTTTACTCTTGAAGTTTTATATTAATTAATTCACTTGCGCTCTGTTGATTAGAACCGGGAAATTTTTGCTTGATCTGTTCTAACTTGGAAAGTTTAATTAAAAAGTCAACTTCAAAACTAGTCAATTACCGTTAGACAATTACCTTGGAAAGTTTATCTGCTTAACGCGTTTTTAACTGTCGAATCATGTCATAAGATAAATATTATTGAAAGAAATTGTTTCTTAGCTGGGTGTTACAAACTACTTTTTTTTTTTTTTTAAAAGATAATTATAACAATGGGAAATGTGAAGAGATGACTTGTTAGGAGAAATACTTGCATAAACTTCATATCTTTATGCAAGATTATAATTAGTTTTAGTCAAATAATGAATTCAATCACTAATACTATCACTATGTTTAAATTTGTGAGGGAAAGATTTTGGAGAGAGTGAATTAGAAGACAATTTCGTTTGTTTGAGGTGAACTATAAGGGAAAAAATGCTAAAAAAATTTGTGGATCTCACCTAAACGTGTGTTTGGATCAGCATCGATAAAATTAATTATGAATTAAATTGATTTTTTAAAATTAACTTTAGTTAAAATTAATTTTGAAGTGATGTAATTTATGTTTGAATATTTTTATTATTAAACTAATGTCTTTTATGGATTATGGTACACTTTTGGCACAAATGAGAAGTAATCTATCCAATTTATTTTCACAATCAGGTAATTTTGTGTACTCCTATCATTTCCATAGTTTAACACCCAATTGCAAAAACTGAATTTTTTTTTTTTACCAAAATGACAACAGTCACAACATTGCAAAAATAAAATTAAATAACGGAATAAAAAATAATAAATAGTTTTACGTTAAAAAATAAAACTTGTAATTGGTATAAAAATATTTTTTTTATAAAATTTATTTATTTCTGTCCTCATTTCTATTCATTCGAACAACGCGTTTTTTTTTTCTTTCTATTTTGTTTCTCTTTTATTTACACAAGAAGACTAGCTAAAAAATTATAGGTAACTAAGGATTCTTATCCTCGACCATCCGAATGAATAATTTACATTAACTAAACCATTAAGTTTTTTTTTTAAGATTTATATTTATTTATTAATAATAACAATACTTATTCAGGTTATTATGTAGTATAAGTGTACCAGTTGGACATCTTGTATCAATCAACCATGTCCCTTTAGGAATTTACAAGATTTGAAATTTTAATTTTGGTTGCTAATTACGTAAATTTAACTGCAAAATATCTTGTTTCTTTTTAGAATTGTAATAATCAACTCATGTATCAAAAAGTTTTGAGAAAAGCAAAGTCAACTTCGATTATTTTGCCTCCAAAATGGTTAGTCTTCAACTATTTGGAAGGAAAAATGTAATTCCTATCATTAACTCGAGAACACACCTCCACATTGAAATCATCAACGGTAGCAACAAGGTATAGCAGCGAAGCAAAAGCAACTATAAATCAAAATTGTCTACTAACTAATGTTTTTAAATTTGAATGGATCATTAATCATTTCGATTCAATAGTTTAACTATAATAATCTGTAATAATAATAATTATTATTATTATTATTAAATTTTTTTAACATTCAAATATAAAATAAAACATCAGTTTGTATATATTTTATATTCAATTTCATTGTGCAATATATCATATACTATTACTTAGGTTTAAATTTTAACAAAATACAATAATAACCATTAACAGTAACAATAACAAACTAATATAATATAAAATTATAAATTAAAATAAATGACTAAATTATATTTTTATTAAAAATAATAATTGATAAAATAATGTATTCCTATCTGTAATTCGAATTAAATGTGTTATTTATATTAAAAATATTTTATATGATTTTTAAAAAAAAAATACCAGTTCAACTATTTTTCTACTCTGGTTTTGGATCTTTCACATAAGTAAAGAGGCAAGAACAAGAAGCTACAGTCCTGGTTCTCTAGCTTGATTCCTTACACCTTTCTTCCAACCGCAACCAAAACAATCAAACCATCTAATTTTACATTTGAGAATTTTTCATGGGACTACCGTATCTAATAAAGATTATTGCACACCTTTTTGTTTGATAGTTTTTCAAAGAAACATGTATTTTAGGCTTGGCCCTATAAACGGATGGTAGCCAAACGTAGAAGAATTACGTAAAAAGAACTACATAAGGTGTGTTTAAATCACGGTTACATTCAGTCCAACGTGAATTCATCGAGTGTAAGATCTGGTTAAACGTGCATTGAAAAGTTTCGGAAGTAAAACAAATACACATAAATGTATGTGCCTAGTGCTTTATATGGTATATTCCAATTTAAAGATCAACATACTGTAACAGTGCTAATCTAAATATTAAATAAAAAAAGGCAATTCAACGCGCGAAATTCCCACCGTGATGAGTTCGGAAAGAGTAGATATGCAAACAGTGGGACTGTTTCCATGATTTGATATTTTGATTAAAGAAAAGTATTCATTTAGAGTATATTTGAAGGTAGAATTTAAGATAATTCATTTATTTGAGAATTTCAAATTAAATGTTTTGTTTGAATGAAAAATTTATAAAAAAAATTTAAAATTCAAATATTTATAAAAAAAATTAAAATAGTAAAATTTTAAATTCTTACAAAAAAATTAAGAATTTGAAATTTTTTATATTTATTTTTCTTATTTCACTTATATATTTTATCTTATCTTTTATCCCTTCATTCAACAAAAAGTTTAAATCATTAAATCTTATCTAATATTAATTTTTAAAATTATTAACTACTTTAAAATTGATTAATATTTATTTTTATAAAATTTAATTTAAAAATATCAATATACGAATATATTTTTAAAATTAATTTTATCATGGTGAAATCAAATTACCATATCTAAACTAAAAATTTAAAATTTTAAAAATTTAAAATTAACTTATTCAAACAAAATATTTTTAAAATAATAAAAATTAAAATTAAAATAAATTAAATATCAAAAATTTTAAATTCCTTAAATTTGTAAAATTCTTCATCCAAACACACCATTAAGTTTTAAAGCATTTTCCTATACCAGAATAGTTTATATTCCCAGAAACATGATAAATCCACCTGCTGGGAAATTGTTGGGGACCTGTGACCCCACGCTTGATATCCAAGAAAAGACATTAGCTGCTCACAGCAGCAAAAGAAACATTTCTATTTCATTTTTTGGGAAGAACATTTCTGTTTCACCCACAAAACACTTGAATATGGGACATAAACATTTACGACAAAAAAAAAAAGAAGAAAAAAATATTAGATTATCTTATAAACAGATCAGTTTATGCCATCCTTCATGTTACTGCATTACTAACTCTTCTTCAAGTCTTCCCACCGTATCTCCTGGGCACATTCCCCACAGACAGTACTGCAACCGAATTTTGTTCCCTGGCTTCTAAGTGTCAACAAGTGCGCAAGGTTGGTGCATTTCCGCGTCGCGAAACGTCTGCTTAGTTTACTTGGCAAAGTGCTGCGAGTTTCTGATACGGGGGGCACTGCATTTGGCATTTCTGGCTTTTGTTCAGGCATAATAGACTCACCGAGTGGTACCCTCTGCACTTCTTCCCATTCCAGCGATTTCCGATAAACCTCCCATGCCATATCCTGCTCCTCTTTTGATAGTTTTTCCTCTTCATTTTCTTGTAACAGAGATTCATGTAAATGATAATTGGCAATCCACCTGTTACAAAAAATAATATTAGCTGCTGTGTCAGATAAACCCTACTTATTCTAAAAAAACCGAAAGAAATTAAATACTAGCATCCATATTTTTTACAGATCTGACTCTAGCAAAAAATCGTTAGTCTGTGTACTCGACTTAAATCCTTATAGGTGTAAATATACTACCAATCGCGCTAAACTCAAGATTCAGACAGCACATGACCTGGCTTCACATGAAATATGCCCAGAAAAATATAATCCAGATTATTTAGGAATGAACGAATAACTGAAACAGACATGATTTTTGGTTGGCTAAGGAGTAGGATCGTAAGCAGCAATACCAATTAATTATCATTTAGATACTTATTGCTTTCATCGCCCACTTTCTGACACTCCCAGTCCCAATTTTTGAAACTAAAAGGATAGTTAAACAAAATTTATATCCAATTTTCCATCTAAAAAAAACCTTTTTATTGATGATTCATTCGCAATTTAAAATTAAAAAGTATGGGCTTAAATGTCCATCACAACTTATATAACTAATTATGCATCATTTTCGCCAGAGAATAATCAGACAGAAAAATATAACAGCATCAGATTTGCACAAAAATAAAATGCAACCAGAAGAAAAGGAGATTTCAGCAACATAACTGACTCAGGTAGGTAGGGTAAGTTGCCCTATTTCAAGGTAAAAGGTAAGGCACAAAACATGACCTACTAAAGAAAGACCACCACCGAACCTAACCCAAGACCTTACTAATTGAGCAAACCTTAATGGCCACAAAAAAAGATTTTGCCTGTACCATTTGAGTTCATAGGGAAAATAATTTGATAAACTTTACATTAATAATTTTTACGTGCATGTACTTCAGTAGTTTGTCAATTATATTCGTCATGGATCAAGACCAAGTAGTCCAAAAACTTAAGTTATTGGGAGAAGGCTGATTAATGATGTTTTACCTAACATGCCTCCTCGTGTAATTGTAAACAACCAATTGGGCTTAGAGCAAGGATAATGCACGTCATCATACTGTAGGTTAAAATTCAACTTTCATCTAGAAAAATGGGGCAGCAATGATCAAATCTTGACTACTTGACAATACATGCTCTAGTATCACATCATAAACTAACTAACCCAAAAGCTTAAG